TATACAGAAGATTTAATGCAACATTGGTTTAAACAAACAAAGCTTAGCACCAGAATGGAAAAGTATAGGCCAGGCTTACTTATTTGAACACCGATACAAAAACGTCAATAAAATGCTGTCTAATAACACCCAGTATGTTATATTAAAAGTATTACGTATCCTGAAACACTTACCCTGGTAATGTAGAGCCGGTGTTAAGCTTTTGATATATTACCAAAAGTTTATCAGTAAATTCAGGACATTTTTTAGAGACATTTCAAAAAAAAAAAAAAATAGACACCGAAAACCATGCAATAAAATGATACCCATTCATGACCCCCCCACACATAAAAACAACACTTAGCAAAGTAAAAATAGAAAGCATCCTCTTTACCTTTATAACTGTTATTTACCAGATGCATATTAGCAAACATTTAAATTTAGTATTAAAAACTTATAAGCTTGGCCATTTAAGTCACATGATACTTGCTCTCAGTGCTAGTACATAAGCCTTTGTAGGGTCTAGCCAACAAAGTAAAAGGAGAATGATAGACTGGATAAAGACAATGTGGCACAGACACACCATAGAATACTGTGCAGCCATAAAAAAGGATGAGTTCATGTCCTTTGCAGGGACATGGATGAAGCTGGAAACCATCATTCTCAGCAAACTGACAAAAGAACAGAAAATGCAACACTGCATATTCTCACTCATAAGTGGGTATTGAACAATGAGAACACATGGACACAGGGAGGGGATCATCACACACTGGGGCCTGTTGGGGGGTGGGAGAGCTAGGAGAGGGATACCAGGCAGTAGAGGGGGCTGGGAAGGGGTATCATTAGGAGAAATACCTAATGTAGATGACAGGGGGTCAGAGGCAGCAAACCACCTTGGCATGTGTATACCTATGTAACAATCCTGCACAATCTACATATATACCCCAGAACTTAAACTAAAAAAAAAAAAAAGACCGTTAAAATAAAAGCAGAAGATAGAAGAAGCATAAAAGTTGACAAGAGGGACAATTCACATTATTGGCAGATAAAGATGTGGTCAACGACCTAGGAGAATCCACAAACTATTAAAACTTAAGCAGGGTTCTTCTGTGTGACTGGGAATTTCACCATGTGAAAATCAATAACTTTCCTATATATGAAGTGAAATTAAACAGAAAATCTTGTCACAAAAGGAGGCCACTAATAGGAGTAACAAACTCTAAAGTACCTAAAAATTAACCAAAAATGAAATTGGCGAAGACTATGAAGAAAACTATAAAACCTAGTTAAAAGCTATAAAAGGTCTGAATAAATGGAGAAAAGATATCATGTTCATGAACAGAAAAACTCAAGACTGAAAAGATGGTAATTTCCTGAGATCCATCAATGCAACCTAATCAAAATCCCAACAAAAATGTGTTCCTTAATAATCTGTGTTCCTTAACAATCTGGTTTCAAAATTATCGTGAAACAAGATGGAGTGGAGTGAAAGGTTAGCATTATTTGCACATGAGTATACAAGTAAAAAATGAAAATTTTATGTTTGAATCACTAAAAACAATTAATATGAAGTAAATGTAGAGACAGCCAAGACTATTACAGAAACTTGCTTTATCAGATATCAAGACTTAGGAAGGAATTGAGATACATGTGGGGAGGTACCAAAAAATAGACAAGCAGAATAAAGGGTCAAAACAGAGTTCAGAAATAGGTTCACACATGTAAGAATTTAATATATGATAAGAAATCTGATGTCAATGGGAAAAGATCATACTGTAAAATAAGAAATGTTGGGACAACTGGTTAACCAATGGAAAAATAACTATAATCAGATCCCTTCCTTACACCAAAGCTAGAATAAGAGTCAGATGAATTAAACAATTAAATGTTAAAAAGTAAAATTAGAAGATGTAGGAGAATATCTTTAAAATACAAGGTTAGAGAAAGTATTCTCAAACAAGATTTTTAAAAAGCCAAAAATCAAATATTTATCAACTTGATTACATGTAAACTATACTTTCGTATAACAAAATGACCACAAACCATGTTAAGAGAAATAGATTGGGGGAAAAAAAAAAAAAAAACCTCAAGAACTGCAGACACTAAAAATAACTCCTATATAAATCAATTCAAAAGAGGCAAACATAGTAGAAAAGTGTTAATTAGGCCATTTCAGAACAAATATAGAAGGTCAATATTCATAAAAAGACATTCAGCCTCCCTGGTAATCAAGGAAATGTACATTAAAACTCTGGTAAGATACAGTCTTCCATTCATCAGATTGGCAAAAGTGTTTAATGTCTAAAATGATGAGGAGAGGCAAGTATTCTCATTCTGGGAGTAGTATGAACAGGTAACAACTACTTGGGAAAAGAAATACAAAAGTATCTTTAAAACTAAAAATGGGCATACCTCTGACCCTAGCCCTTCTACTCAGTACCTATGCTAAAATGCACAAATTCACACAAGCTGCATGTCCATCAATAAGGTAAATCTGGTATGCATGTAGCAGTTGAAATAATGAGCTGAACGGAAATGTAGTGGTATACCTAAATCTGGAAGGCTGTGTAACGTGTGTAACAATTTTTACCTCTGGAGAGATTACCTTTAAAGTTGGAGTGGTGGTCAAGGGGGACTTTGGTCTTATTTGTACTAAAGATGTAAAATATGTAACATTTTAATTTTATATAACAACGAATTCAGAAATGATGTATTTGATAGTTTTTCAAAAAATAATGGGCACAGGGCATCTGAACTCCAGTCTCGTTTTTGCCACCAACCGGCAACATCATCTTGAACAATTCTTTTAATCCATCTTTCTCATCACTAATGTGGAAACTATGTGCCATCACAGTTTACGGTGAAAAGTGGAGTTGCCAACCTGGCCTGACGAAACAGTCTACTACCTTTCTGAGACTTTTTTGTCAATATATGACAGTAATTTAATTTCAATATATTTGGTCCTTTTGTACATCTGAAATCACATCTTTTTTTTTCCCTCCCCCAGATACGGAGCAGTTTCAGCAGGAATGTTATGTGCCCTTACCACTCTGTCCCAGCAACTGGAGAATGAAAACGCTGTGGATGTTTTCCAGGTTGCAAAAATGATCAATCTTATGAGGCCTGGAGTATTCACAGACATTGTAAGTAGTTTGCTTATGTATAAAACCTGTTCTGCATCAGTTGAAACTCAAGACTCAGAGTTTAGAGCAGTAGTTCTCAACTGGGGATGATTTTGGCCCCCAGGGGACATTTGGCCATGTCTGGAGACTTTTTTGCTTGTCACAACTGCAGATGGATGGCATCTAGAGCATACAGGCTAGACACATGCTGCTAAGCAAACTACAGAGCACAAGACAGCCCTCAACACCATACAATTATCCAGCCCAAAATGTCAGTAGAGCTCAGGTTAAGAAGCCCTGCTTTAGAGGACAGTATTCTCTCGTTATCTTGATGAACTATCAACCTTGAGAATTGGTTCCAAGCTAACAGAGATCAAAAAGACATGAAGAAGGTATAGGTCCTGATTCTAATGGATTAAAATGATTTTTTTTAAGTTTCTTATATTTATGCTATTGCTGTTTCTCTGGTGCGTTTTTCACATTTACCATTTTAGTTGGTATTTCCACCTTATATGAAATGACTAAGCTGTTCTTTGGCTCAAACTGTCTTCCTCTTGTTTTTCAGGAACAATACCAGTTCGTCTATAAAGCAATGCTTAGCTTGGTCAGCACTAAAGAAAATGGAAATGGTCCCATGACAGTGGACAAAAATGGTGCTGTTCTCATTGCAGATGAATCAGACCCTGCCGAGAGCATGGAGTCTCTAGTGTGACTGGAATCCTGAAAGGGCACTTAATTTGTAAACTTCTGAAGACTGAGAACTTTTTTGAGGCCTTTTTTGCCAGACTCTAGGTTATACAATAACCCAGTTACTTTTTTACACTGATGAAAGTTTTGATATTTATTTTTTGCCATTTTATGTCTTAATGGTATCCTACTGAGCATTTGCACCTCTGTTCATTTCACACAATGACATGCAATTTTACCTAGTTTGCACTATATGATCAGTGTTACTGCCTATAATCTTATACAACAGCAAACCCTGATGTGACATTCCATGACAACATACATGCTACTTTTTTTTAGTTCAATACAGTGAAGGTCTTTGTAATGACAGTGAATATTGATTTTATAATTATTGCTAAAGCAGTTGCATTCTACTAGCAGGCAATGCTGTACTCTTCTTCAATCCTCCTCTCCTATTTTTTTAGGCACTGTTCAATACTGTATGCCTTCTGTATTTTAATGGAGTGGATAGCATTGTTTTCTTTTACAGACTAGCAGGCTACTGGGAGCTAAAAAAGGTCTGTTAATGTCATGGCCTTGAAACAGTTACATTTTTGATGGTTAAGAGATCCATTAAGAAGTTAGAAGGCTTAAGAACTGCTTCATGTGAACATCCCTTATTAGTTACAAAGTTATATTCACAGTTTTTAAAAAATGTGTCAAAATAAAGGATAACTCTATTACAGCTTTCACAGTAGCTATGTGGACAACGTGTGTTATTTCCATTTTGACTCTCTAAAATAGCTACGTCCTAAAATCAGGGCTATCTTTGACAATAGTGAGATGGCAATATTAGATACAACTGAGTTGTGAGACCCTTTAGTTACTCTCCATTAATGCTTATTGGTTTATAATACCACACCTCACAGTAGGTAGAAGAATGAAAAATTTGCAGGTGTTTAATTTTGAAATAGTCCTTTTAAATTTCCCTATTACTCATATAGCAATCTAATAAAAATTACCTACACAGTTTCTATTCTTTTCTTTCCTTTGCCAAATATTTTATAATAAATCTCTTAATTATATACATTATTCTACTTAAGATTGAATTGGAAATACCATATTAGCAAAAGTCTTGGGACTATTTAAATCCCACACATAGATATATCTGATTTGGAGAGAGAAAATTAAAATATTTAATTAAAGTTGATACCCATATTTGCAAGGTTTTAAAAGAGGGAGATGGCTTTGTATGCTTTTGTGTACTTTAGTGTCAAGAACAGATACACATCAGTAAAAGATACCAATAATCATTAGAGCCCAAGGAAGTTATTTGGTGCAACCTCTGGAGCCATATTCACCCTGCAGTACATAATGAGAAAATTAGGAGCATTAATAAGAAATTTCAGTAGTGTTTGTCAGAAAAATAAGCTACTTACTGAGATCTGTTTCTTCTATCACACGTTTGCTTTTGAGGGACAGCTTCTGTCAAAAGTGAAATCACCACCAGAACTGGGCCTGTTAAGAAGAATAGGGTTTTGTTTATTTTTTTATGTCAATTAACTTCAATACAAAGGCCACGCTGACTGCTATCCTGCCATCTGGGTAGGCATTAAACATTAATGATGATCAGCCCCGAGGTTCTATTTATCTTGAGTTATCTTTCATAATGTTTGTCAAAATGGTGCTGGAGGACCAGAATGGCTAAGGAGAAAGAGGCTATGGGCTAAGTTAAAAGAATTTGAATGCAAAGCCCAGGTCAGTGGAGTTTTCATGAACCGCGTAACTTAACAGGGTTAATCTCATCTTTTCAATACATAGATTCAACAACTTGGAATACTCTGCTTTTCAAGAGCTGTATAAGCTAGTCTTGAGAAAAGATGTTCAAGAGAGAATGCTCAGTTGCATGTGCTAAATGACAGACACCTTTACAGCCCCTCTGCTCCCACCACATGTAACACAGAAAGCTCTACCTAACACAAGTAAAGAGCTTGAACACAGTACCATTGCAACTGCCAGATGCTGAGGAGAATCAGGAAACGAATGAGCTAGACTTTTTTAGTGAATTTAGTGGGTTATTTTAGTTGTACAGAGAATTGACATGAGTTAACTCTTTTTAATAGATGGCAAAGTGGGCTTGACGTTCAAAAGTAATTTTCGAGTTAGGGCTCACGGTCCCTTTCTCAGTAATTTTTTCTTAATAAAAGTAAATATTGGTTCAAAAACAAATAGCAAGTATTCCCTTCTGTGCTATTTATAGACTCAATTCATGGAAAGGCGTACCCTCTAATGCAATTCTGTGGCTATCTCTTACAGTGGTTTCAGAATCATGATAAAACAGCTAGTAAATAGAAACAATAAAAGAAAGAGTTTAGAAGTTCCCTGTGAGCAATCTGTGTGTCTCCAGTGAGCTTGAACCAAAGTCTCCATATCCTGACCCACTGAATTATAAGCAATTGCTACTTGCCCATCTTGCCAAAGTGGTCCAAACACACTTCAGTGAGGACAGTTATATTTAGCAGGTCCTCACCCCTGCGGCAGAGAGCATATCCTAACTATCATTATTCATATGTTATTGGCAAATACATAGCTTGTATCTTTCCAGAGGCAGAGTTTCAAAGACAGAGTTTTCTTTGAGACATTAGTACGTTGCTTAAGTACATAACAAGATTATTAACACTTGCACTCAGGGGAAAGGCAACAGCTATTGCAAATTAATGTGTGCTGCTTTATAAAACAAACTGTGTATATGAATTTAGCACCACGTAAACAAAATGCGCACATCATATAAAAATGAATTGCAATGATTAGACCAAGAGGCTGTGCTGGACATCAAAGAAAAGACATGTTGTTGCCATCTGGAGAACTCTTTCTTACATCTGATAGCCAAGATATCTTCTTTAATATGAAAAAAGTTAGATTCTGATTTTCAAAAAGCATAACATTAGCTAATTGGTCTTCCTAATTTTTATGCCTTTAGAGTTGTTGGAGTCTATTTCAAGTAGAAGAGTCCAGCAAGGTCAAAGAAAGGTTATGGTGTTCAAGGTCCAGCTGTTGGAGTTTTTAGCCCAGAGTAACATATTGAAATCAGTACATAATTTTAATTATCTTATAATGACACAGCACAACTGCCTTGTTATGAATTTTTCTTAAATGCATATATACTATATTTAAAATTAAAATATAGATACCAGTTTACCAAAGATACATATTACTAATTCTAAGCAAAAATTTTTTTAAAAACCCAAACTCATCATAATTTAAGAGTAATTAAAATGTAGTTTGTCTTAAGAATTTAGCGGTTATACTGGAAATGCATTTTCAACTCCTGTGTTCTAAAGTTTATGTTCAAATGGTGCCAGTGAATTTTTATATGAAGGGAAAATGCCTGCTTTTTTTTTTTTTTTTTTTTTTTTTTTTTTAACAGCTGTAATTTCACTTAACCCTTCGTGCTTTCCCTTAGTTGCCATTTAACATACGATACTGGCTTTACTTATCTCTAGAAAGAAGGCATGCTACAAATAGGAAAGAATTGTAATAATGATATTTGGCCTCTACTTTGTCTTAGCTGTTAAACTGTTTTTAGTATTTTTGTTAAATATTTGCAAAGGGAAGCATTTTCTACAGAGGATAATTAATTTCAAGAAAAATATCTTGAGTTTTAAAAAATAAACATCTCCAGAAAAGGAGACAGTCAATTTTATAAAATGTCGCAACTCTCCAACATTTGGGGTAGTGACTCCTTTTTTGTTAGGACATTTGAAACTAGCAAGCAGCCATTGTTTCTAAAGAATTCTGCCTTCATGTTGACTCATGATTCTTTCACTTCATTTTGAAATAGCTAAAAATCATTAAAACTGTAAATATTTTGTTGCTTGGGTAAGCATCTTCTGGGAACTTTGTATCTATGGTATATAATCATAGAATTTTATATTTTCATATAAAGCTAATTTTTTTCTAGTTTCAACTCCGTCATAGTTTTTTTTTCCTTTTTGTGGTGGATATGTGAATTCAACTTTCTGTGTATTGAAGTAGCAAGAACCATCTTTGCATTCCAAAAGAATCCAACATGTGTTATTTCTTTGAGGCAGTGATTGTGAAAGTTGGGTTTTCTTTTTAATTCCATTGACCATTTGTGCAATAGGAATTAGACATAGTCACCGAATACATTTGTCACATTGACCCATTTGGAAAAAGTGTGCTTTTTTTTTTTTTTTTTCCCCATTTGTTCGGGGGGAGGGGTTTTGTAACCTGAAAATTTTCCCTTTTCCTTCTGTTTAAACTATATCAAATCATTCTATTATAGTGTTATTTAATATGTAAATTGTATTGCTATACATAAAATAAAGTATGGTTTTTGATGTATTCAGCCGTGTTGAGCATTTCTTTGAAAATGTTTATATCCAATAAAATCAGGTTACCAGTCTCCCTTAACAGATCACATGAATACCCACCAACCCTCTAAGTTTTCATGTTATTAAAATGAACATTGGTAGTCATCTTTAAACAGGCAGCAAACCAAAAAGAAGGGTCTTTGCTGGGTTGATTTAATCAATGCTCCTTCTCTGTTAAAGAGCAAAAAATGACAGTTTTATCTGCTTGTCTAAGAAATCAAACTTGATTCACTTTATGACTCTGCCGCTACGTTGTAAACAGAATTACTATTTTCTCTAGTATATTAACTAGATTTGTAACAACTCTCTTAATATTTACTATGTAGGATAAAGGATATATCCTGGCAAGACTTCTGGAGAATCTATATGTGTAGGATCAGTACAATTGCTTTTGCTTAACATGGAATTTTGACATTTCCAAACAGGTACACAAGTACCAAACTTGGCAGCTTTGGTCTACCATTCTGTCTTAACTTTTAGTGACTCCACATCAGGGGGTCAACTCTTCCTACCCAGGCCCCAGTTTTTCTTCCCATAGAGATAAGAGCTGATACCTCACTCTCGCCAAGACATGAGGAATTCAAGAAAAAGTATATGAAGAGTACGTGGAAGAATGATGCTAGCACAAAAGAATGAATCTCTTAGGATATAACCCTAGTCTTCCTCAAACTGTATGCATGGGGAAACTACTACCCTATATCATAGGATTTACCAGAGGTTCACAAATTGACGGCTGGTAGATTGTGTTCAGTCCACAGATACATTGTATTTGGCTCATAATTTTAAAATTTGTATTAGTTACCAATATTTAACAAATGAAACTTTTGCACTTAGATTCAAGTCTCAAGCTCCTTTAAAAAATTTGGGTGTTGGTGTAACAGGCTCACACTCTCCCATGGCAATAAAAAGGTGGAAATGAACAGTAGTTGTCCTATTTAGATGGAATATATGCTCTCCAGTTCACCAGTCTACATTGCACCCTATCACCTTAGGCCTAGCCATTATCAGTCATTTAATTAACTTGTCTGGATCCTGTGAGCAGTTGCCTCTGGGATGCCCAATAAGAATTTTGACACCATCTTCCATCTCAGTCTAGTAAACCAACAACCAAGTGTGGCAGTAGAAGTACAGTATCTCTAAGTCTTGCATCATGAAAATCCTAGACAACCAGCATGCAACACAGTGGGTTCCCACATTATTCACTGCCTCTAAGTCCACTCAAGATGATTCCATTAAGCAGCAGTTATGACTATTCAAAAGTATTTTAAAAATGAATTTTCTACTCCATGGCTTTTACTGCCCAGGACAAAACCCTAGATGAGGAAGCTTCAGGTATGCTACTACAAATGGCAGAAAGAAACCAGAGTACAAAAAGCAACTGGTCCAAAACTCTATTTTTAAACCGCTAATTGTGGAACTTTAAGATTTAGAAACAAATCACTACTGACCATGCCTGGATTCAGAGGCAGGATTGAAGATGATGGCTTTAAATTTCTGCCTATGTTAGTAAAATCACATAAAGGCACTAGAAGATGGTAACCAGAAGTTGGTTACTAGCAAGTTAAAATTGGCTTTTGTGATTATGAAGTTAAGTTTGGCAGAAAAGGATAATTACAGCAACAGTTAATCTGAATATAACAATTATGTTGCTCAAAAGTTGAAAAGAAAAAATTAACTTCATCTAATTTGTGGTAATTTCAAATCATTTGACTTGCAGTTACTGGTCTACAAACTAATTACTTTCCCTTTCCCACACCCTGCACTTGCAGGGTGTAAAGGCAGGCTTTGTGGCAATATCCAGTGGGCCTTGCAAAGCTTCGGAGAACATTCTGAACCAGAGACATCTTTAGCACTATGTTAGGATCCATTCCATAAGCATTTCCTGCATGTCTACTACAGACCACATGTTAGTTATACTCTATATAGAATGTAAAGTTGTTGGCAGAGGCATTTCAAGTCAGATGAGACAAAGATGATAATTTAGTCTTAAAAAATTAGTTCTTCAATTTATTCCAAAATATTTAGTTGGCACTATAGTAGAGATGGGTTTTAGGGAGAGAATAAAAAAGACTATTGTGCACCAATGTGAGCAAACAAGTAAAACCTGTAATCACAGACACTCTC